ACGCCACCTAGGCAGACTTCTGTGGCTCTCCATCCTGGTTACAACAGCAGCGGCTGTCATGCTTTGTGCAATAATGCAACGGAGAACGGGCCCCTTTCATCATCCTCTTGCTTGTAGGACACCACAAATACAACTAAAGCCTGGATATCCTGACTGCTTTGCCAGAGCTGTAACCTGACCATCGCACGTGCCAGGCTAACGCTCCCCAGTGGGGCATCAGCTGCACTTCAGGAGAGATAAGGCAAAGCCAGGGGAACACTGACATGCCACCTGCCTCATCTAAAAACAAAGGGGTGGGAAACGTATTCCTTCATGGAGTAAAGAGGCACCTAATTCTTCAACTGGAAAACTCTGTCATTTAGACAGGCATGGAGGAAGCTGGAGGGAGAAAAAAAAAATGTGTCCATCACAGGGGGATGTGTAGTACACTGGAGAGAGAGGGAGAGCATGAACACATTTCTTCCCAGAGTCTTTAAAGTCAAGATAGCAGCTTTATCTTGCTATACAATCAAGGAAATCCGGGCTCTGGGGGAGAGAGACAAGGGACAGATGAATGGGTTTCCTCTAAGCACATGTAATATATATCAGTATCTGAAGAACGTTGGTCATAACTCTTGGACAGTGTGCCAGAACAAAATAAATAACGAGGCGTGCTGGGCTCACCAGCTGCTTGGAGCAGGAGAGCTGAGCCCAAACGTGCTGCAGACGAGGAGCTTCCCTCTCCTTCTGCTCACGGAAAGCAGCTGGTTTTACCTGCACAGCTACGGGAGGTGAAAAAGGTGAAGAAACACTCATTCACCTTTTTTTTTTTTTTTTTTTTTATTAACTGAAATTCTTTAGCAAAGAACACCACATCTTTCCAAATGAGCAGCAGGTTAATTTTTCATACTTATGTGAACACCGTGCAAGTCGCACTGAGTTATTTCAGGTGAGGATTAGGCCTGGTATATAAACTGCCAACAGTCCCACTGTCACCGTGGATCAGATCTCAGGAAACCTGAGATGTTGCATTTCTCACCACATGCTTAATTCCCAATAAAACCAGAGGGTGTCCTGGTTTCAGCTGGAATCAAACCGGTATGCAGCAGTGAGATGGAAGTGTCTACTGGTTCCCCAGCTTTCCCAAAAGCTTCAGATGTGTCAGTCTGTCTTTGGCTGTGTGTGGGAGTCCACAAATGGATCAAAGCTTCAACACAAACCCTGAAAGAGGGCACAGAGCACAGTCCTGCCTTAGCCTTCTGCTGGGCTTTCCATTGCCTGAGCGGCAGCGTGGCAATGAGAGGAGCAGAGGGGATCATCCCTTCCTGGACAGCATCTGCAAGCACAAAAGCCCCAACACAAATCCTCTGAAGAAGGCACGAGTCTTTCCATCAACTTCAGGCGACCTTGGATCCAGCCCAGGCCTCCCAGCCCAATGACTCATCGGTGAGGTTTTTTCCTCAAAAACACAGAGAGAAGATGAAGCTCTCACAGCTGGTTGGGGTGCATGCAGATGAGTTCCCTCCTCTGTATTTTGTCAATAAGCAGAGGGCTGTGACAATTCTACTTATTCCAGTGTTTGTTCATCACTCATGAGATAAAAGCAAAGGTGTTCTCAACCCTATCTTATTGCTAGAGAGCTTCTAAACTTGTCAGACCCAGAACCAGGCTCTTTCCCTCTTATCCCCACTTTCCAGGGGCTGGGGTGACCACGTGCACTGGGCAGTGGATGAGTTGACCCCACTGTGGTCCCATCCTCACCCAAGCCATGTTCAGCTACTAGGGGTGGAGGGGAAAAGGGACTTCTGAAAGCAAGAAAACAAATCCATAGCTAGTAAATTATATATAGCTTTTATCCCACAATTAGTTTGTAATTCTGAAGGACTGCAGACAGTCAGACTCCTGTGTAATAATCCCCGAGATCAGATTCACATTGAATTGAAGGACTTTGAAGAAAGAGAGATGCAACAAGAATCGGGCCAGGATCTATACCAGTTAACACTAGTAAATGGTCTGTCCCTAGAAGGGTTTTAGCAAAAACAAGCAGCCCTTTCCGCCATTAGTTTTTTATTTGCACAAGTTCCTTTCCTGTCTGAATGTTTTCTGTCTCAAACCCTAGACCTGATCCTTCTTCATCAGTACTTCAGTGTTGGTTTCAGTAGTGTTACTCCTACTTTACATCATTGTAAAACACAGTAAAGAGACGGTGCAGTGAGTGAAGAGATACATATTTCAGGTCCGGATAATTGGAAATAGACATTGAAAGCACATTGTGCTTTATATACCACATTATATATAAAATGATATTACAAAATGGGTGGTACTTAAGTTTATCCATTCATCATAAATATTGACTACTTGCATAGTAAGTGATAAATCAAAATGCAGTAATCACTAAATCAAAGATTTATACAAGTAAAGAGCAGCAAAGCAATTAATCAATTCCCTGTACAGCCAATGATTAATTAGGTTCCAATCTGAAAGTATAGAAGCTGGCTTACAATTAAGGCTATTAGAGATAGGCTTTAAATATTTATTTATTTTCCCCTAAACATCCTGTTCTTGAAAAGGAGATAAGTTGGCCCAAATAAACAATGCTCGGAGAAGGATCAGCTGATGCACTTGTGTTTACATGCAGGGCTCCAGCTCCTCAAAGCATGGATCACAGGAGATGGAGGCAGCAGCACGTTGCTAAAGTCCCATGGTCAAACCTTTTGCTCTGCCTGAGCTTCCTCTGTACCACAGCTGGGAACAGAGGCTTGTCCCAAAGGATGGGATTTGGGAGCTGAAGCCATCAGAAACCCTCTGGGGGCAGCATGGCTGCTGGTGGTTGTCTCTAACCCGTGCTTGTCCCTTATCAGCGTTTCTTTAAGCACTGCCAGGAGCCGGCAGGGATCCACGTTGTTTCTGACATCCCAGACTCTGCAGTCTGTGAGTGGCACCAGCCCCAACTCAGCTTCCTGCCATACACCACCATTGAAACGGCAGAGAATAAAGCTGGAAGCATCGAAGTGCCCCGGCCTTTCCCACTGGAGAGAAAAGCAGGTGCCACTGAGCCTTGGGGAGCACCAGCAGGTCCCACCTGCAGCTGCTGGTGACAGGTAGCCAGGACAGCACCCACAACAAATCCCACATCCAGGACAGCACCCCACACATCCATTACACGAAGTCACCATAAGCAGATACCATCAGTCATCATCACTCCTGCATCTACACCATAGAGGACAACAGGCTTCATTTTGGGCCAGCAGCACTGCTCCAGCTGGCTGAACTGGAAGCAGTGGGGCCAATGTAGGATCAACCACATAGCTCAGCAGAGCAAGCACAACAAGAATATTTGTTCCCAAGCCTCCAACTAGCAAGAGCTCCATCTTATGCCAGCCAGCTGTTTGGCAAGAGTTGCTTCCTGTTCTTCTTATTTATTGTCACGCCTTAGCCAGGCCAGTTCTTGTGTCTCAGTTAAGCTCTGGAGAAGAGCAACAGGATATGCTGCTGTGGCTCAGGGCATAGCCTTAATTCCGAAAGATGAAGCCCCAGTTCATGCAAAAATCCTCCTCTTTGGCTTGCTGCAGCATTGCTGCAATGTAAGTTCAGTGGCTGCTGGCTGTCACCAGCAAGCGTCACACATCTGTATGACAGATGTATCGAGCTGGTCGGTGCCACTGCTCATGGACCTCAGGTGAGCACGAGTCAGACCTGACAGGGAAGTCTTGTAGGAAGGAAATATGCAATATACAAGAAAAAAAAGATTTCTTCCTTGTTCCTGATTTTTTTCCCCTCTCATCTTTTTTAGGGAGCTGGCTTAACCACCCTTCCTTTGGAGAGACGATGAAAGGGATGCAGGTCTGTAGATGTCTCCAGTCCCCCTTATTTTGGCCAAGAGGCAGCAATTGGAGCCTCCTTCACTCTGGCACTGCAAACCACTGTGGATAAGTCCCTTTGTATGGCATTCATATTGAAAACGCCCTAAGCAACGCAGAGGTCATGTGTTTGCAGCCCCACCTGAGCACCTCCCTGAGACTCCCCCACTCTCCAGGTGAGAGCTCTGGCTACAGATGCTATGACAAGTTTTCAGATAATTAGTTCACTCATCTAAAAATGCAGTTAGAAGTTACCCACATGGCTCCAAATAAAAATGTATCTTTTTTTTTTTTTTTTTTTTTTAAGAAAAAAGTCCAATCATTTTGTTTGACATTTTAAAAATTAAATGTCATAGTTCCATATTTCAGCAGGAAGGTTTTGAGACCACATTTGCTCAAACTCCAGCTTTTTATATATAGATGTATACATTTTTTTTCCAAACAGAAACAAAACAACATGTTTTGCATAATTCGAAGTGATAGTTTTCAGAAGAGATGACAGCAGTGAGAGTTATTTCAGAAAAAAACACTCAGTTTATGTTCTCCTAAAAGGGTGAACAAGCTGAAAAATTAATTATTCACACATCTCTAAAACACAGACTGCACAGCGCCATTCAGGCCCAGATAGAGATGCGGTGGAAATCAGACCTAGTCAGCAATTGATTCCTGATCCTGCTTTACCTTTGCATATAATAACTGGGTAAGGCGTGAGAGCATCATGCGGCTAACGGCAGGTGCTCTGCACAGAGGTAGCAGTGAAGCATCTTTTCTGCATAGCATTGCCTGCAATTGCTCTTTTTGACCTCATTTTTCCTTGATGCCTGCATTACTCACTCTGAATCTGGCTGCCTACCTTGCTCTCCAGCCTCATGTCTCTACTTATTTGTGTTAAGAGAAGGACACATGGACAAAATCACCGGAGCAGTGCCAAAGCTGTAACCCAACCCTGTGTGTTCTGAGAACAGCAGAGAAAAGACGACATTTTGGTGGGGAGAGAGGGAAAGAAAGGGGGGCTGCAATGAGGAATCAGCTAATTAGCCTCATCTACATTTCAGCTACATGGTTCATGGGTACTAAATCATTCCTGACATATTTAGGTTGCCATTTATTACCAAAATTATTCAATGTGAGTTTGCCATTTAGGACGTGTTAAGAAAAATACTTATGCCTTCAGAGTGACTCCAGCTCGGATCCCTTCTGACATAAGGGCACCAGCAGGCCCATGGTTTAAGTGCACGTGTACCTGAGGAACCCCGGCACACAGCTGGATGCACAGCTGTAACAGACAGGACGACAGGGCTGGGTTCAGATGCAGACACGGGTGCTCATAGGTGCCTTCTTAGTTAAGCAAATAAATAAATAAATGAAAAGGAAAGGAAAGGTAATAATATCACCACTCTCCCCGCCCCCCAAAGCTACAAATGACTATCTCCTGCTGCAGTCATCTTAGCATTCAGCTCAGTATTCCTGAGGTGTAGTGAAGATTTTACATGCCTAAAAACTTCACTTCGAACTTACAGACTTGAAGCTGTATAATCACAATGGAAACGTAGCCTTGTGCCAGAAGATACACACAGCTATGCATACACACACGTGCTTCCCATGACTATTAAACAGTCTTATATTTTTACTTAACACTTCATCGTTCATTGATAGATCACCCACACTACTTTCAGGCATATCTCTGCCCAAAGCAAAATATTAATTCAAGCCATTACCATGTCCCTGAGTGACAGATTTATGGGGCCACTCGGCAGACAAGACCTACTGGAGAGTAGCAACATCCACCTGAACTTGACACCTACCTGAGCTTCTTGCTCTATGTCTGCTTAGTTCCTTCCAAAGCTCAGCTTCACTCACAACCTGCATTTTGAATCTCAGCCCTATTAAAGCCTCCTATCCTTTCAGGTGAAACCACTAGACTGGATTACCACACCCCTCCCTCCTCACCAAGCCTTAATACTTGTGGACAGTGACATCACAAATGCAAGGAGATTGCAGCTGACTAATATGAGCCTGCCTTAGAAACAGTACATCTGTACATGGTATTTCCATTAGGTTGTGTCTCCACTCAGATCACCACCAGTCTGGCAGTTGTGTCTCGGATCACCAGTACTACCACTTTCCTCTTTTCTGCTGTGCTCTCATTGCTCTGCTAATGAAGAAATGAGATTTATCACACTGTGCAACTGTGGGTGTTCACCTCTGTAGGTCTCCATTTAATAACTTTAAGATGCAATGGCTAATTTTAAAGAAAATTTGACAAAGCAGCTGAGGTCTCAGAGATATGAAGTTCACGCAGGTTTTATGAAAAGAAAAAAAAAGATTCCTGGACAGAGGAAACTGCTCTTATTAATGTCTCCCACAGAGAAAATGCTAATAACCTCGCCCTTTATTAGACATTAGAGAGTCGATGTAGAAAAGAAATGCTGGACTCTCAGCTCCACCAATCCTGCTGTTTGTGGGAAAATTATATAATGTGGATAGAGCTTGATCTGGGCCACCACAGCCAAAGATAACTAAGAGTTGCCTGTACATGCTCTCAGAACTTAGGAAACAAAGCCCACCCTACATTTGAGGTGAAATTCCCCGTGTTGGTGACAGGCTGAAGATGAATTTTAATGCTATATTTTCAGTTGACCAGTTCTTCTGCCACTGAAAATCAGCGTGACTCCAAAGGCGTGAAGAAAGCAAAGCTGAATTTCACCACTTCACTCCTTGTTATTGTTGGGAATATATTCATTCATCCATCTCTGACTTCAAAGGGGAAAACAAAATTAGCCTTTTTCAAAAAGAAAAATCGAAGTGGGAGGGGTTAGTTGGTAAGATGTTTCTAGTGAATGGGTCTTGATTTTGCAACTGGCTTCCAACTGAGTCCAAGGCAGTCTGAATTTGACTTTCAGGCTATCTGCTGAGCTATTTTCCCAGGCATTGAAACAGATGAGATATAACTGCAGTTTCATCCCCTAGCCAGGGCCAGTTTCCTATCAGAGGTGCAAATTCAGATTTATCTACTACAAGAAGCTTAATAAAAAACACCCTTTTCCCCCTCCCCCAGTCATTGGTTATCATAAACAAATCCCTCAGCAGAAGCTAAAAAGAAGATACTTTGAGGTTAAAAGCAGCCTTTAAAAGAAAATGATGTTGTACATCATCCCAAAATTTAATATGACTTTATGCACAATAGTAATGTGCCTGGTAATGCAAAGATTTTTCTAAAGTAGCTTAATAACAATCCAATATTCTCTTCCTTAAAAAATGAAAATGTATGTCAAAAAGAGATCTAATGTAGCTGCATCTTGTATCCATTGATGGAGAGAGCTGATTTACATAGATAGCATTTAACATACTATCATCATTATCCTATCAGTCTTCTGTCTAATCTGGAAGCCTTGAGACAGAGTTCTCAATGTTCTCTGAGGTAAAAAAAAAATACCAACCAAAATGATGGTAAAGGGGGAGAAAAAAATCAGCGAGGGACAGATGAATATCAAATCAGATGAGATAAAAATGGGATTTTTTTTTTATTTTTTTTTTTTTTTAGCCAGCATAGTATGAGCTTAAAATGCTGAAGAGTGGGTAAAACAAATAATGTTTAAGACTGTAGCATACGGTACCACAATGATGGGGAATAAAAGAGAGAATTATGTTAATGGTTGGGTCTGCATGCGCTTGTGGAGACTGCTCCAAGATTGCTTGTGATGGTTTGAGGGATACAGATAGATAGTGTGGATCTCTGAAATACAGGCGGTGTATAATATTCATTTTCTTTCCCTCTTGGCCCCTTTAACATGAGTTTAATGCTCGTGCGGGGTGTGAGCAGCTGAAGGAGGCCTTCTAGTGTGGCAGTGATGGTGTCTGGTGGGCTGTCCCCACTGAAGTAGGAGAGGTTTTGTGCTTCTCTCTATTAAATTGCTCACCTTCGGAACAAGTGCATGGTCATGGCAACACTTCCTACCCCTAATTCTCCTCTCCCACATTCATCGCCTTTCATTAAAAACCACCAGCACCTGCACCCTTCCCAGCCACTGTGTCTCCCCTGTGTGCCAGGGGCTGACCCCAAACCCCACAAGCTGCTCCCTGGCAGCGGGGCCGGCCCTGCAGTCGCAGCACCCACTTCTCACCACTGCTGCAGGACTCCACTTTTCAGGGTGGAGGAGAAGCAGCAGTGCTTTTGTTTGTCCAGAACTCTTTTCTCTTACAAACAAGGCAACTCAGAGGGAAGTGATTCAGAAAGGTGTGTGAGGAGCTCAGGGCCGGGCTCGCGGCAGCAGGCTAGGCCTTCAAAACCAGCAGTAAAAACCCAGCAGCCATGGTAACCGTGTGGGCTTCCTGTCAGGTGCCATTAGGCCTTGTGGCTGCCTTTGCTGCTCTCCACGCCTTTAAACTCTTACCGAGTGCCTTAACTGCAGTGGCACGAGCAAGGCCAGCACTCAGACCTGATGCTGGGCTCCATCCAGGACGCACCAGGGCTGTGCTCTCCTCCCTACAGCTCTCCGTGCTCCCGCTGTGGGCTGCATCCCTCCACACCCTCCCTCTACCCCTGCTCATATTGAGCCGGATGGGATATGGGACTGCTGCTGCCCCTATTTTAAACTGGACCATAAGTCAACGAGGGTTTTCCATATGGTCTTATAGGGAACATTGTTGCCCAAGCGATACCCTATCCACTGGGTCATCCCGCTTCTGCTGCCAGTCCTCGGCTCGTGCCCCCCTGCTTGCCTGTTTGACAGATTGGCTCCCGCAGTCCAAACTAAACAACTTGCATGATGCAAGGATGTGGTCGCCCTCTTTGTCTGAGAAGGCATGGCAGGAATTCCTGCAGCGGAAGAGCCCCGGGCACTGATCCAAATCTGCCTTGAGCGAGAGCGGAAGCTTTTCCCGCAGACTTCAGTGTCATTTGGATCTGGTCCTTCAAGAAAAGAAGGAGAAAAAAGTAACGTCTCCAGCAGAAAGCAAGCATGTACCTCTGCCTGCACCCCGCTTGCTGTACAGGTGCCCCTCGTGACCATGAGCCAGCCTTGCTCATAAGAAGGTGATACAAAAAAAAATAAAAATGAACTGATGGCTTTGACCCAGAGTGAGCACAGTGAACCCGAGGGTGCTGAAAAAAAAAAGTGAGCGTCCCCCCTGTGTTGCCTCTCACCACACGTGTCCCCATGTCATGTGGCTGCTCAGCTCTCCACGTAATGCTGCATCTGCCCCTGCATAGAAGCAAGTATGATGCAATATGAAGCCTGGGCTAGTCACTGCACCTAATTATGAGGAAGAATAGAGCAAATTATACCCTTACATGGACATGGAGTGCCAAAGCCATGCTGCTACTGGCAGAGTTCCCCTGTGGTTGCAACTATAGAGCGCCCAGCAGGGATTTAATCCTGTTGTAAGTAGCATTATCTTGAGCTTGGATATTTGTTCTGGGCTTCACAGGGCTAGCAGTGGGGATCAGTCCTGCCCCCAAAACCTAGTGGCTTTCAAGGTGGGACATGATCATTTTATAAAAGGGATTATGTGTCATTGTTTGTTTGCAACCACAAAGCACCGGACTCAGAAACTCAGGAGGTGCCTTCCAGTCTTATGCTGCTGTGTTGCTAATTGAAAGAAAAGCTGCTGGTTCCCTTGTCCTCAACATTTATCATACACAAATCCCTCAGAGATCTTGCAGGTTTCTGTGGGAGCCCAAGGATCCAGGGACACAAAAACTCTTTCTCCTTTTCTAACTCATATTTACTTTTCTCATTTTTTTATTTTTTTTTTAGATGTGAAGAAAATAACTTTCAGAAGTGAAGAAAATAACTGGGACCACAAAAGATTGAGTTGCTACATTATTTTTCATAAATACACCTCACTTCACCTGCTTAGTATTGTCCTTCTCAAGCACATGCAGAGCTCACAGCAGAGCAGCAGACAGGAGACAAAATCTCAGAGATCCAGACCAGCAAGAGCCACTCTCCCTGCACCTAATCTAGACCCAGGCTCAAAAAACATGTCCAAAAAATAACTTGCACAAAGTGAGTTGCCTTGGGCAGATGAGAAAAAGTAAAAATGAGTTGCAGAAACGAGCAAGTCTTTTCCAACCAACCATTAGGTTAATTGGACTTTAAGAAAACTCTGAAGAGGAAAGTTTTGTTGAGGAGAAATAGATATAAGTATCTTATCACCTTTTGGATAAATAGGTACTGCTTTTTTGGAGAGGCTCTGCCCAAGTTATTTACCATCATTGTGGTCAAAAGCTGCTGGGCATTGTGCTCACTCGTGCCAGTCAGGCTCACATAAGCTAGAAGCAAGACAGAGGTTTCAGTGCAAGAAATTTAGCCTGGGAAAGCAAAGATAGGGCAAGTAGAGAGACACTTCTACATTTCTTTCAAGGATTTCTGTTGGAAGAGATCAAAAACAAGCTTTTTTTAAATACAAAAACTGATAAAGCCCTGATCCTGGAGACAGACATCTAAGCACATGCAAAGGATTTGTTGAAGACAAGCATTAGTGTTTGTAAGATAAAGCCTTTATTGATACTTAAAGTTCCATCAGTTTAACTAAATGTATTTTTAAAACTCATTTAGTGAAAACATGCAAAACCCTTGGGCAGACACTCTAAAATTGTTTTAATGGCTTTAAATTGAATTGGCTTCATGATTTCTTACTAAATTAAACTGTGCTAACTTTAAATTGTTCTGCAAGTAGCCACGGAGTAGTATGCCCAAGATTAACTAAAACAAGTTTTAAACTCAATTTCAGTCAAACCACCTTACATTTAAGTGCAGCAAAAGCTTTAAATACAGGAAAATCACTACATATAGGATAGTGACACGGCATCCAGCTAAATAAGCTGAACCTTGCTCATTGACACTCAGTTAGAATCACTTCCAAAATTGATATATTTGTTTTCTTAATTGTTCTCTGCAAC